ACGGGACAGCATGTATACCTGAAACCTTGGGACAATGAGGAAGTGGAGTCCAAGTTCTTGGTGATGGAGTTATTCCTGTTAGTGAGACACACACACTCTCTTCTTAGAACGGAGATGGAAAGCAGACGCACACACACACACACAATAAGACACACTTGTATCCACACGCCGCTGTGACGCACACTCATGCTGAGTTTGGGGTTTGCTCATTCACAGCTGATGGTGAGGCAGAGACACGGAGGGCGACCGCAGGCTTACCTGACCATGGATGCCTTCTCCCAAGGTCGTCTCAGAGTGTCTGAGAGGGAGGGTGGAAATAAAATAAAAACAGCGATTAAAAAAATAAAAAAAATGGATGCTGTTCAAATTATTATCACCAGGGTGTAGGTGGCGTGTTTGGTTCTTACCACTTTGACCTTGAGACTCTGAATCATCCTGTGAAGATACACAGAGATTGTTTTCACAGTGAGTCATAGTCAACCTGTCTGTCTTTCTTCGTTTTTTTAACCCACCTATTACCAGCAGTGTTTGGTCACATTCACAGACCGTTGGTGAGAAATGGACGTAACTGTCTGTAGCCGTCGGTGCTGGACTAAGACTATATGTTATATACTATACAGACAATATTCACCGGAACGGTTCCGTGAGACGAGGCTCTTATTAAATTTTCATAACTCTCTTTACAGTTTAACTGTATTTTACAACACAAATAATACATTTTAATGACCATTTTGAACATAACAAATAAGAAGAAAAATCCCCATGTTTTAAGATGCTATAAATCCCTAGCGTAGAGATGCTGTATCTCTGAAACTACAGCACCGAAGGAAGTGTGTCAGTCATAGAGAAACAGTTTTTTTTAAATCATGAAAATCTTACATTATCTTGTGTCTTCACAGACGGCTTCTCCCCTGTGTCTGCAGCTTTTCTCCTGTTGACAAAAAAAAACAAAAAACTACATGAACAACAACAGTGGTCTGTAGACAGTAAAGCCTTTTTTTTAAGAATTTCATATTTCACTTTACAGTTTGAGTTTTATGGGAGTGCATTTATTTTCAAACTACCCACCTTCTGGCCAGGATGGCACTCATCTCACCCATTAGACCACCTCCTCCCCCTCCTCCTCCTCCTCCTCCAATGGAGGCGTTACTGCTGCGTGAGGAGTCGGCTCTGTTTATGCCAGAGCCTGAATCCTCCTGCTGGAAATAAGAGGTAACAGAATTAAGTCGAGTCAGTCAGACACTACAGAACTGTAAACCTTTAACCAGTACAGCAGCAGATAAGTATATAATAATAATATATAACATTTATATATCAGGAATACTGATAGCAGAGAGTTGTCAAACTGTTGTTGCTTATTCACCTTGGACACTTTGCGAAGTTTGGCTCCTGCTAGAGCAGCAGCCAATCCACCATCACCACCGAGGCCACCACCACCTCCTCCTCCTCCTCCTCCTGAAGTGGGCAAGGGCGGAGCAGGCGGCGGTCCCCCAGGAGGTGGGCCAGGAGGTGGAGGGATACTACAGGCTGGAGGCGGGCCAGGAGGTGGAGGAGGGGGCGGTGGTGGAACAACACCTCCGGAGGCCAAAGGTGGAGCTGGAGGAATAGGGACTAAAAAAACAAACAAAACGAGAGGTGAAGTGTCATGTAGTTTAAACTTGACCCTTGACCTGTCTCTGTTGACTAATCTATCAATCTGAATTCTACTAGTCATTATGAGTTCTTCCACAGTTCTGTACTGGATGAATCAGCATGAATGCCGATCAGAGCAGGTGTTTCCCGACCTGCAGCTGCTTGTCTTTCTCTTTCCAGTCTCTCTCTTTCCTGTTGCTCCCGCTCCTGTCTTTCTCTCTCCTGCCGCTCCCGTTCCTGCTGTTCCAACTTCTGCTGCTCCAACCTGCAAACAAGTCGGTGAGAGATGAGTTTCTCCCATGAACCCAATCACAGGTGCGCAGTGGAATTCACCGTGATTTAAAACATAGATAAAAAGCCTGAACAGGGAAAAGAGATCAGACTTCAGACACTGTGTGTTTGATACCACACATCAGCAGCCAAACTCAGGGGCAGTTGATATCATTGTTGTTCACTCTTCTGTTGTTTTTTTTTTAACCTTTGACCTACGGGGGCTGACCAGAGCATTAGCAGTGTCAAGCTAATGCCGACAAATCCTCTACATGTGCGTGTGTGCTAATGGCTGTAGAGCAACACAGACTCATCAACCGTTATCATAGTTGTACTTGTGTTAGCATTGATTAGCTTGTCCTGAAATCAAATTATAAATATATGTAGAGAACATATGAATAAAGGTCGGTGGATCCAGGTCTTTGTTAGAATTATAAGAGTAAAGGTCTGAAGTTACCTCCGCTGTTGTTCAAGCTCTTCTGGAGACGGACCATTTGACACCGGACGGGGAAGTGTGGCATAGCCTTGGGAAAATAAAGGGAAAAAAAAACACACAAACCGTATAAATAGAGAATAAACAAATGAAAAAAAAAACTGGGTTTAAAATGTCATGGTTAACATCTGTGAGTTTACATACAGCAACAATAAAAAAAATTTAAAAAAAATTAATTATTCAGTAAAAAGATAATATTTACCAGCATCTGCCATGGAGCTGATCACGTCCAGAGCGTGAGCCATGCCGTTGGCAAACAGAGTAGCATCCTCCTTACTGCCAAAGTTGAGCCCCCAAACCTGTCGGGCATCTCGCCACTGGTGGAAGTTGGGTGTGGCCTGGTTGTATTTGAGTCCTCTGATGATGGGACAGTTGATAACCACCTGTAGAAGAAGCATCGGTACGGAGACGATTTAGGCAGAGCTGGTGAAAAGGTCTGTGGCCGTGACACTGTTCCACTGGTCGTGACAGATGGAACAAATGTTTCACATAAATTCACCTTTTAAAAAAAATGTAGTGAGTGGATTCATCAGGATCAAGCTGGAAAAAATTATTTGAACCTCATAAAAACCTGATTCCCAGCTGTGTTTAAATGGGAAAATGCCCAGTTTGGTTTGTATTCCTTCCACTAGGTGGCGTGAAGCCCGTGAACTGAAAGCGAAAAAAAAAAAAAGTTCTGGGTTCTGAGCTCAGAATGTGCTGACCCACCATTTCCCTATTGGTTAAACACCCCCTGGATTCCACAGGGCAGATGGGAGGAGAGGACACCCTGTCAGGGCAAATATCAGAGCAGGCAGTGAAAGGAGGGGCAGGAGAAGGGGGGGCAAAGAGGGGCAGGTTCAGAGGAGAGCACAGACACGGTGGAGTTCAATCATCACAGCACAGCAGGACAAATTAAACAGGGACAAGAGCAACATGAGCTAAATGTGACTTTACACAGTGTATATACACAGACAGACGGAGGGTATTTATCAAGAACTGCAGTAACTGCTCAGGAGTGCAGAGGAAACGGTAGGTGTACAGGAACTGCTGGATGTAGCCCTCTGACGCAGCATTTCTGTGATAAAAGTGATAAAAATGAGTTTGTTCAAGGCATCGCTTCTTAGGTTTTATCTCAAAACCATTCAAGTGCCTAATGTCTCAGTACGTAGGTGCAGAGGCATTCAAACATCTACAAGGGCTGAGTGTGAGGCGTCAGTCGGCCTTCACAAGTTCAGACACTTGGAGTTGTTTTCAGGCATGTCGACACAAGTGAAGTGAAGGCTAAACCCCCAGCAACAACACCTGCTGTAGAGGTAGGCCATGAGGCCCTGAGGAGACCCCGCCTGCAGGATTCTTTTCTGTTTACTGTTGCCAAAGTTCAAAAAGGACACGTCCTCAGAGGGATGAAGATCAACGGAACCAGAGACTAAAGAGGGCAACAATGACACTTCCAATCCCCACTGTTCCACACTGAGAATCTACAGAAACATAGAGAACCTTGATCATCACATCCCCACATGACATCATGTGTAGAGATTTAGATAAAAATATGATCTAGTTTTTCTCTCTCCAAGTACCTCCAGGTATTTCATGACAGACTCCAAAAACATCACTTTCGATCTAAGCTCCTCAAGCTGGGACTTCAGTTTGGAGAGCATCAGTTTGTTCGCAGAACCTGTTGGATAAAGTTCGTACCATTTTAGCTAAGCTTAGGTCACCATCATTGACCAGTGCTCTTGATTAAAACGTTACCTTTGTGTTTTCTCTCCTGTTGAAGGAGCTTCAGGTAAAAATTTCTCATCTTCTTCAAATTCCTGGTTTCAATCATGAGCTGCTGCTGCAGTTCCTGTTTGAAGAAAAGTAACAGGAAATCAAACAGCTTTTCTGTGACATAGCTTTGACTCTAGCTGATGTACATTTATGAAGTTTTGTGCAATAAAAAAATGCCTAACATTATTAAGCCTTTCATTACAAGTACCAAAAATGTAAAAAAAAAAAAAAGTTCTTTACTTCAGCTTTTTCCTAAAAATAAAAAAATGACAATGCAGATTTGTTTTTAAATTTGTGCTGTAATTTCATCTTCTTATCGACTGCTTGATGTGAAATAAAAAAAAAACCAAACAAACTCTAAAACAGCAGACAACAACGGTAGCTCAGTCAAATCTGATGATGATAAAAATAAGTCACAAAGCTCTACTGTCTGTCATCAGGAACGGAGCCACGGTGTGAATGAATGAAAGCACAGAGAGATCAAGTGTCCGCTCACTCACTGCACTCATCGGACCATCTGACAACGTGACATAACCGACACACACACACACAGACTAACACACACACTGTGACACACGGCAGCTCAGAGAGCGTTACCTGCTGGTCAGATTGCATCTTGCGTCCCACTATCCTGAAGGCGTTAGTGGTGGGGTTGTGGTAGATCTGGACTCTGCTGAAGGTCTGGGGTCCAGCGCCCGCAGGCATCCACTTCTTACTGCCGTCGTCATATATCATCACCGTGGCCCGAGCCTGGCAAATACTTGATTCACTGGAAGACAAGTCCACAAGAACAGGGAGAAATATTTAATCGATCATAATCGATAATATCGGCAAAACTTCAAATTGGAGATCCCTAATCTCCACTGATATTAAGACTTGACACTGTAAGATGTTGAAGTTTCAGCAACACTTTTTCTTCTAGCAGCCATTAGGAAAAGAGTGAAGCTTTTACGTTAAGTGAACATCTCGGAGCCGGTTGCGACGCAATTTTTCCAGATGAAAGTAAAGCCACAAAAATGAGACCACATGGGTTTGTGGCGGTGACTGCACACTCACACCAACACGCCCTCTGAATGTAGGGCCATGTGACAGCTGTAGACAAAACCACAGACACAAGATTTATTTACCTTTTTTTTTTTTTTGCTTTCAAGAACTAAGAATGAACACAAACGAGCAGATTCTCATGGGATTATCTGGCAGAGATAGAAAGATGTTTTTCATGTACAAACGTATTCGTACGGGACGACAGGTTGTTTACAAAAATAAATATTCATTCACAATTAATTGATTTTTTTTAAATTTAATTTAAAAAAAAAAGTTCTTATTGTTGAGATTTTAATACTCCCTAAACATGGGAGTTTCGTCAAATGCCTTTTTATTTTCAGAGAAGTCCAGGGCCTACATTCAAAAATGTACCAATAATGTGTGAGACATTTACACGACTACATTCTAAACTACTAAATATAACATTAAATCTGCTATTTAGTTCTCTAAATTCCAACAAAGAGGACCATGTAACCACATATCAACACTAGTTAAAACTAGTCTGACGTATTGTAAAATGATGGTGTTTAATGTTCGCTGCAGCTGGAGGGGGGGGGGACAAGCAAACACCGGGGGGAGGTGAGGATGGAGAGGAGACACAGGATGAACAAACCGACCAAAAACACAACAATTATAAACAAACCATTTCACAGACAGTCAGTGATGACAGTGACACGGAGAAAACAGAGAGAGATCAGAGAGACTGAGCGTCAGAGTTTCAGTTTGTATTAATAATCATGATTACAGTGTCAGTGCTGAAAGGCAGGCTGAGAGTTGGGTGGAGCACGTGTGGTTAAAAAAAAGGAAAGAAAAAAAAAAAGCATTGTTTTTTAGACACATTTTTTTACCAGCTGGAGGTACACCCATAAAGACAAAGTGTTGAGTCGAGAGGAGAAAGATTATAAAAAGATTAGCTTGATCCCAAACAAAGTGCGAGGTAGAGACAACAATGAGGTCCTGACAAAGACAGGAAGTGGTGCCAAACTCAGCCAAAGAGCTAAGCTAAAAGCTCTGGAATCTTCCACCTGCTCGACGTCAGTACGCACCTCCTTACACTCAGCCTGAAGACAGAAAAACAAGGAAGACGAGAAAAAAAAAACACCCACACATTCTTTGAGATCATTGAAGAAAAAAAAACAAAAACAAAACATGCTGTTTCTTACTGACTGAACAAGTCTTCACTATTCTGTTGAATATCAATGCAGTATCGTAAAACTATTTTTTTTTAAATATTATAAGGAGAAACTCAGTGTAAAAACAGCCTTGTTAAAGTATCAAATCAACAGTAATCAGTTTGGACGAGGACACAGAGCGATAGATAACGGTTAGTTCTTTTTTTTATTTTTTTTTTTGCCCACCCAACACCCACTCTGTTCCTCTGGTCTTCTAATCCATCCATTCCCCCTCTCCATCCATCTGTCCGGGCCTTGATACAATCTGCTGCTTCCGGTGACACAGCACTAAAGCCACAACCTACTTCCTGCTGCCACTAAAGCCTAATATGGACAGCCCTTACACACTTACACACACACACACACATACTGTGTATGTTCTAGTATACTGATAAAGCACTTGTAGGGGAAAAAAAAAAAAAAGTTAAGCTTCACGGTTGCAGCTTAGTGTGAAAACATAAGGAAGCCTGAAAAAAAAAAAGACAGGAAATAAGTCAATGCTGTTATGATGGATTAACTGTAATCTCCTTAACCTGCCACGTTACCACGAATGTAAACCGCTGTGTAACGGGTCTGCGTGTCACACATTAACGTCACACAGACTCAACAGACAGACATACGTTTGGTGTCACTCACAGGAAGAGAACAGCGGTTCAACAACACCGTTCTGTCACCGTCTCATTGTTGTTTTCTCTTCTTCTTCTTCCTTCATCTTCATCTCATTACACCGCTGTTCCATGTTACAGATTTACCTAAACTTAAATCCCATCTGCATCAGGTCTGCTGATGATGCGTGCGTGCGTGTGTGTGTGTGTGCGTGTGTGACAGGGAGGGGACAGAGACGTCGGTCTTAGCGTTGGATGCATATTTAATGTTGGAGAAAGCAGGAGCTCAGGACTGAGACTGAGACTGAGAGTGAGCAGATACATTATTGATAGAACCGCTGACATCGAAACTCTAAAAGCATGTTACAAAAACACACACACATAAAGATAGTGACCGTGGACACCTGCCAACACACACGCGTGTCCACGTGTCCTCCTGACACACCACAAATAACTGGTGGACAGAGAGGACAGAAACCACTGGATGTGGAAGTAAACGGAGTGAAAGTTACTTTAAAAAGTTACTGACTTATTGATGATGATCGATGACCAACGCCTGGAGTCAGTAACTTCCTACTATAACCTTGACAAACCAAACGCTCATTAAGCTTTTCTGTTTCTTCAAGAGTCCATTTTTTTCTCTGATTTTATTTAATGAATTAGAGAAAAATATGGTGGAATAAACTGTTGTTTTTTAGTGTGTAAAAATGTTTTTCTTTCTTTTTTTTACTGTACTTTGTTCACTGAATAAAGTGCAGGTAACAAACTTTTGAATCTTGACCAATACTTGGAGTGACTAACTTTAAGAATCCCTCCAGTAAATCACTCCGATGCACGATGATGATGATGATGATGATGATGACGACATGTGGACAAGAATCTAAACCGGGAGACAGTCTTCAGTGGAGCTTGAAGGAGGAAGCGTGGATTCTTCATCCCACTGTGGCTCAGCGGTCAGGGAGGAGTTAACAGGAAACTGCAGTGCACGGTTGGGACACACGCTCCTTTGGAAATGTCTGTATATGGCTTTGCTCTCGGAGCTTTTCCCCAAATGTGTTGGCAAGTACAGTCAGGCCCGGTGACTCGTCCCTCCTCCACGTACCTGACCCTCCCACCCAGCTTCTCTTACCTCCTTCATTCACTTCCTTCACTTTGATTCCCAGACATACCTGCTTTATATACACACACGCAACTCATTAAACCATTACCACATGCTGTAATAATTCCCGATCCTCACAACTACAGAAAAGACAGCAGCCACTGACTCATCATTAACGTTTCTTTCTCCTCTCACTGCGGAGAAAAAAACAACGACAGATTCAGACAATAAGTCACTTGACTGTGTCTATGTAAACAAACCACAGCTACACTCCCTTCACAGCCAGATAAAAATAGAGCACGGCCGAAGAATATTAGACACACGTGATAAATATTTATGTCGTCAGAGAAGGCATTGATCTATACCAGTGTGGAACAAACACGGCACAAAGTTTTCATTAGGAAAAACCCAACAGCACACCAAAGAAAAATCTCACAAAAATGTAAAGAGTTAAAATCAGAGTGAAGTGTAAATGTACTGACGAAAATGTAAAGAGTTATAATCAGAGTGAAGTGTAAATGTACTGACTATGTACTGTTTAGTTGAAGATGACACTGATACTGGCAGGAATTGAAGAAAAAAAAAAACACAATCACAAAGATCTTTTTCTACAGCTCTGATTCTCTTTTTTTTTTAGTTTAAGTGAAATTGGATCAAAGTTTGTGGCAAAAACCTAACGATCTCTCACATTTTATGTGTTTTACCCCCTTGAAGGTTGATTTTTTTTCCTTTTAACAGCTGACACTTATTGTGAAAGCTTATTTATTAGTATTAAATGTCACTATCAACCACAAAACTGATCAGAAATAACACTGGGGAAAGACACAGAATATAGAAACATACACACGAGCTAAAAAAACAGAAGTGAGAACAAAGACGCAGCATGGGAAAACTCACCACGAATAAGTACGGGAATGTCCCCGTGAACCACGGCCTGTACCACATCAGCACAGCCTCATCAGTTTCCTCTGAGTAATAAAACAAATATAATAATAAAATATAACAAACTGTACTGAGAAACGCCACCTCTGAAGAATGTTCTGTTTACAGTTAACAAAATTCAACTGGGGAAAAGAAACTGTCTCATTATGAAACCTGGACCGGGGTCAGAAATGAATAACACACTTGACCCCTGGTGCACTCTGGGACACAAGAAAATTTGTTGAGGACGGGGCTGACGTACAGTGTCCTCATAGTAACCTCGGGTCACGTGAGCAGCGCTCGGCCACCGGGGGGGGCCTTTTACATGACCTCACGTCCAAACTTTTCTAAAGAAAGACGTCCAGTGAAACTCTTTGTTTATAAAAATCTATCAGTAACTGCATCAGTTAAGTGCAAGATAAGCTTCAAACGACAAAGTACACGTCCTGGTGCGAGGAACGATTGTCCCATAAATGTTAATATGTAGCTGACTGGAGATGAGATTACAGGTTTTTTAAAAGTGGGGCTTATTTTAATAGCTCTGTTCCACTGAAAGGGATGTAAATTGACCTTTCCTAAAAAAAAATCTGTTTAAAAAAAAACCTCTTTCATGGTTTGAAGTGAGTGTTGGAACCACTCCTGTTGGATTTACTATTAACTGCTCAGTTTTATTTGAATAGTTGACTACATTTCAATTCACTGACAAAGTAGTTAAACTTAAACTTAGTTTTAGCCTCTTAAACGCCGAGATGTTCTTGGTTTTGTTGTGCCGTGATCTTTTATTTCGTTTAAGAAGAAAAAAAAATCAAAACAAAGAGAAGCCATCTTTAAGAAAGTCCAGTTGAAAACTTTGAAACAACGTTGTTACTGAGAAGCTTCACAGACACAGCAGCTACATCACCACCGTCTCACTGAGCTCATTCTTTCC